TTGAGCAAGGGCTGAGAGGCGGGGTGCGAGGAGCAGAGAGGACTTGGAAAATGGCCATGCTAGTCCCGTAGAGATCAACCCTCCCCCTGAAAACCAATCAACAAAACCGCACGGCGCAACCATCGCCTCCCAGCGATATTTATGGTCCTCCAAGGCTTTTAGCAACATAAGTGATAGACATTTTCATCATTCAATTGTACCATATACTTCTGCACCCCTTAGAATTGAGGGATTGTCTTTCGTGGGCTTCCTCGCGTCCTTAAGGACTTGGTCTCTCCATTTACGTGTCAGTCGAGTCTTTGGCCAGCGACGCGAGGCTGAATAGGTGTCTCACTCAAACGCATATATATCAACGAGGGCGCACGAGAGCAGAAAAGCCTAGACCGGGGTCCCTTGCACTGACCGTTCTCCCGACCCACTATTATTCTCACTATTGTGTGATGCGTCGATCATCACCGAATTAAGAGTCCGGTCCATCGGTGAAAGAACCTATCTCGCTGGCTAGTTAGGAGAAGATCGAGGATTACCAACCTGTTTATACCATCGGCACAGACCCGTGCGATTGGGTATTCACTGCAGCAGTCTGCCAAGAGATGCCCGATACTCTGTCAGGCTTCCTCCTATTCCGTATCGCTGTTTCAGTACAGTACACATATTGGGAAACCTTCTAGTAATTTTGCGCTTTCCGGCCTTGGTCTGGGGTTGGGCTCATGGGCATCTCCCCATCCATGGTGCGATGTGATCTGGTATTCTAATCAAAACTATCTAATGACGTCACGCGCGGAGCTGAAGCCAATGTAGGGGCATATTATAGCGCGCGTTGGCGCATGAGCGGCGGAGACAGGCCGAGCTGAAAGGCAAAGTTGCAGCGCGGACGGGTCGAAACGAAGTCGGAATCAGATTTAGATGAGAGTATCTTTAAGCAGGATCATCCAAAGCATACACACTAACACCCGGTTGTGACCGTAATGGCGGGTTTAATGAAAGTCCATTGCTCAGCCTGGGATAAATTCAGTCTCTGGTGTGATCCGGAAGTTGAAAGACATAGGAATGTTAGAGAGGGAAAGGAGGACTAGGGGGAAACGCGAGCAACATGCTATATATGTGCCCCAGTGTTGACTTGGATCCTTCACACTTTGATGTATCGTTGGGGGCCACGTATTACGACCTGACTTTGGCCTGTCCAACGCTGATGGGGGTGCGTAGCATTGGAAGCCGGAAGCAGAGGTAGGACACCGGTTAAAGGACGCAATCAAGCTCCTATGGCTGGCGCTGAAGGAATTTTATGGCTTAAAGCACCGCGTTGCATGTGCAGACTTGATTGCAAGCTTAGGGCGCTGTCACCCCGTAACGTTCAGGGTGAATCCCCTGCCGTCTTTGAAGGATCAGGTAGCGAGATCCGTATGGCATTGACCGGTTGGCGGAAGCGTAAGCCATCAATGTTGAAACCGTAGATGGGCTGGATCAGTCCTAGCTTGGTGACCGGATCCCGATAGGCTTGGACAAATTCAGCTTTCAGCAGGATTATCCGGAGCGAATGCAGAAGCTCCTGATTGCATTTGTAACAGCGGATTCAATGAGTACTTCTTACCCGATATGTGGTACATTTCTCCTCTCATGTGATCCGGAAGCTTTAAAAACAAAGGATATAACTATCGGAGCGAGGAGGGCGGAGTGGGGCGAACAGCTATTGTGCAGGCCCGTGCTGGTCCCGTGCTGGCTTATATCTTTCATACTCTGATATATCACCAAAGCCGCTTGCAGCGGCCGGACTCTAGCTCGTCCGAGACTGGAGCGGCGCGTAGCATCAGAAGCCGAAAGGAGAGGCAGGACAGCCGTTCAAGGACACAAATCAAGCTTCCGTAGCTGGCGCTGAAGGTCCTCGTCAGCTTAAAGCACTGCGTCGGGTGTCTCTAATTTATCGTAGATGCACGGGATAGCGGAAGACCCGAGGCGCTACTACCGTGATCCGTGGTTTGGTCCACTGTGAATCCCGAGCGGTCTTCAAAGGACCAGCCAATGAAACCCGTATGGCAATGACAAGTTTGGGGAAGCGTAAGCCAATAACTAGAGGGACCGGGCCAGTCTTAGCTTGATGGCGGGATGTCGATACCAAAGGTAGTCTCAAGCCACCCGCCAGTCTCTGGGCAAGTTTGTGTGCTGCAATGCATCGCTTAACGTCAGAAATCATTTAGTCAACTTGTCGGAGTTGGTACCCAGAAGTTCGCCCGAGGAAAAGCGAGGATGCGGGAAGAGGCGCTGTAACCTGGCCATGGCGTGCTGTCCGGTCGGTCGAGAGCGCTGACCCCCATTGCGTAGGCAACCAAACCGCCAAGATCCAGAGCTCAGCTTCGAAGCAGAGGTTAATAAGGCTCTTCCTACCGTTGTCGATCCATTCCCCAGGCTTAGCACGTCCTGATACCGAAACACAGCGATGGGCCATCCGGTGCGGGGTCTTTTAGATTTCAGAAGCATCAAGCTGCTCCCGGGCCCTCTGGATATGCAGGGTGTCTATTTGGGCATCAATATCATTACGCGAGGAGGGCAAGCGAGTGCATTGGGCGCTGAGTTGGTTCGTGGTGGAGGAAGAATGCCGGAGATCATGGCATCGCGCCGGTATTGCGGGCAGAACACGCCCTTGACGATACCGTCTGTAGTGAAAGCGAGGAGCGCAAATGAGGTGGGGGTAAAATAGGGGCACAGCCTGGTCTTGGGGCGAGAGGGACGGTGACAGACAGGCGAACTTCTAGGGCGCTAGGTTAGGATTACGCTACATATTGTTTCTTTGGTAGGTCCTCCCAACAAATCTTCTCTGGTATATCGGTAGAACATCACCCTGTCAAATCACGTGATCTAAAAGTCACGTGATCGCGGCCCCCAATTACGCGGAGACGGTGAAGAGCTGGTACTGGTCCGCTTGGGGTGCTCGAACCCGGGCTCAACGGACTTAGCGGCGGAGGTCCGAAGCGGTTTGTTTACGACTTTTCCCAACCCAACTCCCATCTCACCAGATCACAAATCCAGCCCACCAGCTCCGTATACAAAATGCACCTAGCAGCCTCTCGAGTTTTATTCATCCCGGAGCTTCAGAACCTCATCTTTGAGCACCTGCGCCAGCCAACTGCGTCAAATTTGTACAGCAGCTCGCTCGACTGCCTGACCTCCATTGCTTTGGCGCACACCCAGTTTACAGAAACAGCACTGAGCATTCGATGGGCCAACGTGCTTGATGTGACACGTATTGCTCGGGTCTGGCTCTGCAGCAAAGTGCTGGGACACGACTTTGTGAGTGAGAGAATGACGTTACCCTCTCGTCGCGCCGACCATTCACGTCCCCAGAGAAACCCCTCAGAGAACCCGACACCGCGGATTGGCGGAGATTGCATTACTACCTGAAACGAATAAAAACCCTCGTTGTCGATCTATCCCTGTTCACGCCGCGGAACGCTAGCTTCATTACGGACTTCCTCATTCAAATCTTCAATACCGACCTTCGGTCGCTGGACATAAAACGCCCTAGAGCCTCCGGTCCTCGTGAACTCTCCCTCACCCCCATGTTGACGGACTTGACGTGGGTCTCATGTGGCGAAGAGGACATGCTGGTTTGCACCGCCGCGCTGCTTGAGCAAGGACGACGTATAACTCGCTTCTCGCTCGGTAAACGGACCAACCTCTCGCTCGGTAAACGTACCAATCTTCGAGCAGGAGAAGGAATGGCAAAGTCTATTCTGGAAATTATGGATAGCCTGCAATCTCACAGACAAACTCTGCGAACGCTGCTTGTTCGAGAGCACCTCAAGGAATCCCAAGATGCCGTGTTTGACCTCGTCCAAGAATCCCTAAATCTCACAGAGATTGCCATACCTACGTATACGGTCCGCTGCAGTCGATCCCTCGACATTCTCGCCCGCCATCCAGCATTGCAGGTTCTCGAACTAGGCTCGCCGCTGATCGATCTCCGCTCCGAATGGGTGCCAGCCCCGCTCGTTCCCAACGCCTTCACACAGCTTCATACCTTGCGCGTAGAGGGACCTGTGGCTTTGGAAAAGGTAAACTTTAGGCTCCCGTACCTCCGGAAATTGATCGTCGAGGGAAACATGGCGGTGCTCGCCGAGGACGTCAGCGCTGCTCTATCCCGGATCGCCAAGTATTTTAACTCTATCGAAGAGCTCTGCTTACGCCTAACACTTCACGTCTCGAGTTACAACTCGGACATGACTCCAGCGTATTCGGATGCACCATTCATCCTTCTACTACTGCTACCGTGCGTTCTCTTAAAACGCCTGCGTGTTCAGCTGCAAACCCCACAGCACCAAAATCATGTTGTCTCTCGGAGCCAGTTTGACGCCGTTGACGATGATTGGATTGCATTGGCCGCAAAAATGACGGAGCTGGAATCCTTGTGTTTCAGCTGCGGCCCTACCGTTGACCCCGATTACGCCTATCACACGCCTGCCAACACCGCTAAGCCTCGGGCAACTCTCCACTCACTCATCTCTCTACTCCAGCTGCCCAAGCCCATCCGCCACTTGAATATCCCGCTGAATATCACGCCGAAAGGTTTTGCTGCTTGCCAGGGTGAGATCTCCAGCCTAAAGCGACATGATTGCGTTCGCTGGTTAGAGTTTTGGAGATGCTGGCTGGATAAGGAAGCTGTAAACGAGATGGCGAAACTTTTAGGGAAGTTGAGACCGGTCAAGTGGGTCGTCCCGAGAACCGTGCCGATGGAGAAGCGGAACAGCCTTCAGGCAGTCCTGTTTGACCGGCCGTCGCGCGATGAGATAGATAGATGTAGCGCATGGGACATCGTGAATGGGATGGAAAAGGGTGATCAAGCCAACGAGCCTGAAGGAATGTTTGTGGAGGTCTTGGAGTGTTGGAAGGCAGCGAAGTTTCGATAGGTAGCCCTTTCGAAAATGTCTCAAGATGACACCGTGTCGAAAGCACGACGATGTAAATATACTCCTGATAGTGTTTAATATCCCATGCCAGACATCGATTCTTTGCTGGTATATCGGTAGAACACCACCCTGTCATGTCACGTGATCGAGCGGTGGAGAGCAGGGTTCGACTCCCTGGCAAAGAGGTTCTTTTTTGCTCCTTTTTTTTTGTCCTAACATGCGTGTGGGTGGCCGTTGCCCTAACCGTCCGTCGTCGTTGGTCCAACTCCCCCGACTGGGCACACTCGGCACTTGGCTAACGTGAGCGTACAAGACTGTTATTGATAGGGGGAGCGGGGAGAATGACAACAACAAGAACGACAAGGACAGCAAGAGCGGTCGACCAGGACGAGCAAGAAAGGAAGATCCGTGGGGACGGCGGTGCAAAATTTACTCACGTCGGCGACCTCGGCGTCTTCGGCGACCTTCCACCTCGTCCGCCACCTCCACCTCATCCGCTACGTCTTGCTTGGCCGACATTGAGGCGTTGGAGAATGTGAGCACAATCGGTTCGCTTTCGACAGTCAATGCATATGCGGAACGAGGAGCAGTCCACTTTGACACGTTGCGTGGCGAGTTTCCCTCTTCTCTGCCACCACATTCGCCTCCTCACCTCGTCGTGCCTATTCCCACTTAACGTGATCGCCCGATGCCTGAACCTCACGGAAACCTCAACTTGGCGACCCTGTCCTCCACGGCACCGGGGTTCGTTCGGCGGGAGAAGCTGCTCACGTCATCACCGGAGTGTCCCTCGGAGCGTCCTTCGCCAGGATTTTTTTAATATAAGACAAGTGAAAAACCTCGTCAACTTGTATCATCCTCACCCCCCTCCCTCCTCGTTACCATACTAACATCACATGAAACTCTCTTCGACGACTGCCGGTCCAATCACTGTGAGAAAAGGGACCACCAGCGCACGAGCCACGCGGCGACGGAGGCAAGCTAGAGCGAAAGAGGTCCTCTTCAATCTCTGCAACATGTTTTATCGCTAGCTGAGTGTTCGATGATGCCATTTCCAGAAGCTCCAACACCGCAAACAATTCCGCTCTAAACACCAACGCGCAAAGCCTTACCTCGCTTCCTCTATCTTCGATGCACTCTTCCTCCTTGAAGCTCAAAGTCCTGATATCACTGAACCAGAGTGCGTTGACGCCCCTCAAGTTGGAGGGTACATCATACGTCACCGCTTTCGTTGGGTTTCAAAGAAGGTAGGTATCACGTTCACCCCCCGCCGGAGGCCTCTCCTCATGCGTCTGCTACGATCTTTGCAGGGCAATAAGATCAAGACTCAGTTAGACGGGGCTCAGAGATCCCAACAGGCTGGTAGACGTTCATCTAGGACTCGAAAAGGACGATTTCCAGACCTGATCAAGGCTCCTAGTCAGCAACTGGCTGGTCCATGGATTGACGGTAAGGTGCATTGTGGGCCCGTCCGCAAAGGAACACTTCCTCCAACAGGCACGCACGAGTGCTTGGTCTCGAAGCGGATCACACGTAGGTACCCAGACTTGGACCTGAAACGAGGCTTTGGCAAAAGCGCAGAAGGCAGCGCAGCACAGGCGTACCTCAATACCCTAAGCTCCTCAGACGAGGACAACTTTGGTGATGACGAGTGCTCAGATGCCGAGTAGTAGACCATGCCTAGCATACTATATTAATAGATCATCCTCTTGGAACCAAGTCGGGACGCTCGTCCTTCGCTATCATCAAACAGACCATAGTTAGATATGAATTACTCACGCCAAGAAACTATGAATGGGCCCCGGCTATATGAGAGTGTACGCGTTCACTTTGGGGCTAAACAGTATATCTGAAACGAGATACGTTTCTCAGGTGAGTCGCTTATCTAATCACCGCGACTTACGGAAAAGTGAAAATTTTTGACATGAGGAGATCCCTCCTTAGGGGAATAGCTTTCGAACGAATTTACTGAACGACGTCGACGACGTGCAGCCATATAAATACATCACGTCTGCGAACACCATTTTAAATAATAATCATCAACGCCAATTATATCTACTTCATTCTACGCACCGAGCCGTCTTCCACTGCTCATTTTGCGATGAAGATGCAAGGAAGCACTACAGACGACTTCAGAGCAAGACGTCTCGATTTAGCCAGTTGCTTAATTCTTAACATAGCGATGTCCCAAAAACGACCAAGATACAATTAAAAAAAGAAAAGAGGAACGAAAAGCGCTACTGCGGCTGCGTGACAAACTCCACCCGATTAGAATACTCGAGAAGAGATTCTTCGCTATCACTAACGTAACCGTGCTGCTTTAGCAACTGATCAAGATACCCCATCGCTTCCCCATCTGACTCCCGCTCTTGAGTCACAACAACACGAGCGAGATCTGGGTTCGCTTGCCTCCATCCCCTACTAACCATCCAGCCCTCTACCCCCGAGCCCTCCGCCAATGATCCATCGTCAAGTGTCCAATTATTGTTCCACTGGCGACGCAATGGTTGATCACCTTGCTTGCGAAGGCGTTCGTTCACAAGGCCGTCAACGATCATGGATTTGAAATGAATCAACTAAGAAGAAGGTTCAGCATCGTGCATCGAAAGACGCGGAAGAGGGGAGGAAAAGAAAAGAAAGAGAAGGACTTACTTTACGGGAGTTCCAGACCGGTCGACGGATGGCGAAAGTACCCTCGCCCTCGGACAGTGATAAGCTATCAGACTGTATCCCTTCATCGAAGACAGAGGCTAGGATGCGGCTTGGCAGAATCTGAGCCAAGTCTTTATCACTCTCGCAAGACCGGTAACGAAGCTCAGCGAGCTATTTTGAAAGCATTGGATATCAGTCATCGTGCGTGGAATGCTCTCAAATAAAAAAAGGCTTCGCCTACTTCCAGCCGTCGTTCAGCGAGAGCGTCGACACCCTGCTGAGCACTTTTTGCATCTTCTGGAGGAATGTTGTCTTCATCTTGTTCCGACTCGGGACCACAGTCGGAAACATCTCCCTGGATCAGAGAATGCTCCCGTCAGTTCAAGAGGTTTGCCGTCCGCAATGAGAGCGTGATGAGACGTACATCTTCCGCGTCTGGCACCGCTGGGCCCAATAGCTTCGATTTTTGTCGACCGAAGCCCATGCTCTTCCGAATGATGTTGAAGGCCGCGACTCGATACTGCTCTATAGTGAGCGTGGAAACATTCCTGAGCTGTTCGGCGGTGATGGCCCTCTCTTGGATAAAGGCAGGTCGGCAATTGAAGAACGCATCATGAAACGTGCTGCTCCACAGCTTGTTGAGGTTGGATCGAGGGCCTTCCTCCCATTGAGGCCGAAGGGCCTTGTCAGGCGTGAAAACCGACTTGGACAGGGATGGCGGTGGAGAGCCGTATGGAACTTGACAAAGGTCGTATATCAACGCGGTAGAAAAGTCCTGAAAAAGGAGCGACAAAGGTCAGGGAGTACTTTCCGCATCGGTTCTTGCACGCTCACAATCCATGACGCGTCTGACGGCATCGATGCAGGCGGAAGCGTGGCTGACGTGAGCTTGTCCAGAGTCGACTTTATCAACTTGGTGTCGTCCACGAGGCTTTTATTGCTGTTCTCGAGATTAATGAGCGATTTCTGAATTTGACGGAGTTGGTCCGTGATTTCGTCGATGGCGGGAACGGGTGCAGACGAAGTTTTGGCGTTGACGGGCGTGCTCGCAGGTGCCGCTGAGGACAAAGGGTGGCTGCCTGGGTTGGAAGCCACAGATGCTGGGCGAGAGTTTTCAGGCTTGAGCAACGGTGAGAATTGGTTAGACGGTGGTGGCACCGGCGAGAAGCGTTTGGAGAGCGGTGGAACGGGAATGAAAGGCGTGGGTGGTGGCAGCATCTTGGAAGGGCCCGGTTGGCGTGGAAATTGGTTTTCTACAGCCAGATTGAAGTGAACAACAAAAACGTTGGGCCGCCATGTAACATGAGGGTGCTCACGGTTTCCAGGTGCATGGGTGGAGGTGGAGAGGGCCCGCGATTTCGACGCGGCTGAAGATGTAGCACTTGACATCTGAATTTCTGCAAAGAGTTGTCACCATGTTAGCAGACGACGAAGGATGAGAAAGATCTTGATGCAGACGAACCTTCAACAGGTTTTCCTGCCGTTCCCGAGCCTGCTGCACGACGGTCGCATGTGAGCACATGGTAATCCCTGAAAAGGAATAGATGGCAGGAGGATACGGACACCGAGGACGCCCGAAATGCGAGTTTGACTTGACGGGAGGCTTGGTGGTCGTCGACACGCTAAGCATTTCAATATCATCTGCGTAAGGAGAAAGAGTCGACTCAGGCAACTGTAAAAGTGAAAAAAGAAAAGGAGATGATACGAACCATCGTCATCGTCGGACGGTGCTGCTGAAGAATGGGAAGTCATGAGCGAGAGTCGCGGAGACGGGACGGAGAGAGAGAGCGGAACGCGAGGTAACACGACGTACCCGTCCTTCTTCCGTTGTCTGGCCGAGGAGCACCGGCAGCGACTGTGGACTTGTTCGCCCTGAACGAAGATTCGGTCTGCACAGGTTTTGACGCCTGGATCGAGTTCGGCGCGGAGCGAATTGCGGCCGTTTGCACTGCGGTCGAGGATTGCATTAAGGCACTTGCACCGCTGAACCTTCTCTTTTTGGTGGTTGGATTGGAGGCTAAAATCGAGCTCTTCGAGGACGATGCAGCCGGAGCTGTTGTCGTGTTGACGTCGGCTGTCGTCGGTGGCTGCGTTCGAGAAGATGGAGGTTTGCGAGCCTGAAATGAGCTGGATCCACCAGCATGAGAGGAGGGTCGAGACATGGAGGAGGAGGATGATGAAAAGTTTCAAGGAGGTTGGGGGGGAGACGAAAGCGCATGTGGTCTCTTTATACCCAGGACCAAGGCAGGACTCGGGGTTTGGAACCTGGGCTGGAGTTCGGGATCGTATTCGCTTCAGGCCTGACAACGTCATAGCGCTCATTCAAGGTTGAGGTGGCTTTGACAGCTTCTATCTGTGTATTTTGACGGCTCGTGTCAAACGATCGTCCATGGGTTGGGTTGGGCATTGAAATATTCTGTTCCGCCGGTGGAGTTGGGGTGGTGAAGGTTCAATTGGACCCTACCCCAAGCCATCCCGGCTGTACTTTGAGTGGCTTTTCTAAGTGCTTCTATCTCTGTATGCTGACAGGTGG